AAAAAAAAAAAAAAATAGTGCGAAAATTCGGATGTAAATTCATACCAAAATTGGGAAGCCCCAAAAACCATATTTTTTGCATGAAATCTTATAAAAAATAACACTCAGATTGTGAATAATAATCCCCCTTCCATTGTAATTAGGATTGGGACCATTGGATACAAGAAATATAGATTTTAGAGATTTGAAAGCAAAATAATTCAACCTTGATTTTACGATTTCAAGTAATTATCACTACTTGAAACTCGATTATAAGCATGCAAGTACGTTTTTCATATTGCAATCCTAAAGATTAACAAAGAGAAACTTCCGAAAAGAACGTCCACTATGGATTAAGCCAAAACAAACAAAGAAACTGGGGAATGCCCGTACATGTATACTAGTGAACAATCACTATCCATGCATTGCCTGTTGCCAAGTTTTTCCCCGTTATTGTTAACACACTTATTACACATCGAGAATGGATCACAGCATTGTTAATAGTAAGCTAACAATGTTCTTAGGCTTTAAGTTTGTCAGCAACATGTTTGAGCATCTCCGACAATGAATTGTACGATGAGCCTCCTTTGCTTAGAGCATTTTCCGCACTGATTTTCAGTTTTTTCACATTTTCTCTCATTTTCTTGCCGCCTTCGTCGTCCATCAGTGTCCTCACCATTTTCTCTATTTCTTCTCGCGCTACCACTTTTTTGGTGGGCAACACCAGCGGTCGGACGGCGATCCCTAGCTCCTCCACAAGATACGTGGCGTTGAGTCTTTGCTCTGCGTAAAGCGGCCAAGCAATTATTGGTACCCCACCGCGAATGCTCTCAAGAGTCGAGTTCCATCCACAGTGTGACATAAATCCTCCCACCGACGGGTGATTGAGAATCTCTGCCTGTTGAGCCCACATTGGGACCACTAGTCCAAAATTGCCTGTGCGGGTAGAAAATCCTTCTGGTAAGTAGCACGGAGTACCATCAGAGCCGACGGTTTTCGAGGTGAAAAATGCGTCGTCGGCAGCACCTACCGTAGGCGGGCGCACCACCCAAATAAATTTCTGTTCACTCAATTCTAAACCAAAAGCCAGCTCTGTAATTTGCTGAGCCGACAGCATTCCACCACTTCCGAATGAAACAAATATTACTGATTCATTAGTTTGCTTGTCTAGCCATTCTATTACTGCACTCTTTGAACCCTCTGGTTGGACCGGTCTCCTCAGTGGGCCAATGGGATGAACCGGGATCTTCACAATTGACCTCCAGATTTCATTTTCCTTGAAAGCTTTCAGTGTTGTAGAATCCAAATCTTGCCATGTATTCAGCAGGATCCCATCAAACTGTGGAATCCGAGTCCCCATGCTCACGTACTCAT